TCTTCTTCACTTCAGTGGTACTGAAAGTAGCTGTTCTTAATGTCACGTCTGTGAGACACAGCTATGAGTAATTGTTTCTCTAATGCGGGCCAAATTTGGCCTGCGGGCCAGAGTTTGACACCTATGATCTAATGGTTAAAATTATATTTCTGAAGAAATTCAGGAAGTCATTACTAGTTAACGTTAAAGGAATGATTGGCTCAACAGTGCTCTGACTTTTTGTCAGCCTACCTACAGTGCAGAAAAGAAACTTAGGCTTGTTCTCATTTTCTTCAATCAGTGATGAATAGTAAGACGTTCTAGCTTTACGGAGGGTTGTTTTAGACACGTAGTCTCATAAAATGAATTAAAGATGACTCTGAAGGATGTTTCTAAAACAAACAAACAAAGAAACGTTCTCTGTTGCAGAGCTCCACTTACCCCATATCTACCGCATATCAAATGGTGATGTTTTGTCATAACTATGCCTGTATCCTCAAAACACAGGCTGAAGCTTGTCAGCCAAGATTTGTTTTTTTAAGGTTTTTGCACAGATGTGTTGTGTATACATCTCTGGCGTGATGAAAAACTGACAGGAAACCACTGTGCTAAACATAGACACCATGAAAAGCTGATGTAACCACCACAGGTTTCAAGATCATTGCTTTCATCATCCTGGTTGCAAAAAGAACAAAAAACCAGACCTGATGAGGAGATCTCGAGCTAACAGTGAAACTGATTTGTCGATTACAAGTCATTAGCCAACGAGCTTAACACTGATAATCCTCCTTTCTTACACATTGTATGACAAAGTTTTATGAAATAAACTTTATGATTTATTCAATGTGACCACAAAAAATGACTGAGCCCATCAACTCAACAGGAAAGTATCAGGTACATCTCTGTGGAAGGCAGAGGGTTAGAGACCAGTAACTACGCTGGAGTCCTACCAGTAGCCAGGCAGAAGGTCGACAACAGTGTGGATGGTGGCGACATTCTGGAAGCCAGCAGCAACAGCAAAGTCGATGGGATTTTACTTTTTCCAGCCTCTAAGCTATTTAGTGTCACGGGCTGGGT